ACTTAAAAGACCCAGAAAACAAGCTTTCGGGCTCTTTACTCCGCTCCCTTAGCCTACTTCCTACTTCCATTCCTGGAAGTGCTTTATTATTTGTTTACTATTTTAAAATATTTATTTACGTATTTAATGTATGAGTGTTCTATTTGCATCCCATTATAGATGGTTGTGAGCCACCATGTGGGTTCTAAGAATTGAGCTCAGGACCTCTGGAAGAGCAGTTATTGCTCTGAACCACTCAGCCATCTCTCCAGCCTTTCCCATTTCTTTCTTTCTTTGTTTATTCATTTAATATTATTGTGTAAGTGTTTTATTGAATATATGTGTACTATGTTTATTCCTGTGGAGGTCAGAAGAGTGGGTGTGATTCCCTGGAACTGGAGTTATGGATGGTTACGAGCCACCACGTGGGTGCTGGGAATTGAACATAGATCTTCTACAGGAACAGTGTTCTTAATCGATGAACCATCTCTCTAGTCCCTTCCCCTTTAAAAATAAGCTGTCTATTTCTAATGTCCAACTCAAAAGGCATTACTTTCCCCCTACCTTCTCCTAGCAGCTGTTCATATTTTTACCTAACCTGTACTAAATTTTTTCTTAAACATAAATTTGTTAATAAATTTGTCCTTGAGTTTTCAGAATACAAAACACAACAGAAATAACGACCTTCTCTCCCGTGCATGCATGCATGCGTGTGTGCGTGTGTGTGTGCGTGCGTGCGTGCGTGCGTGTGTACATTGCTTGAGAATCAAGTCAGGCCTTTCTGCTTGCTGGGAAAGGCTTCTGCCGCTGATCTATAATCTCCATGCTGTTTCTCCTTTCTGCTGCCATCACTGATTCAGTGAAAGAAGTCTGCTTAGATTTTTCCCTCCTGACTGGTGTCCTCTTATCCTATTTATGGCCTAGTCAACTCAACACCCACATTCTCACTTAAAATTACATTATCACATAATGTCATTTCCTTGTGTAAAACACTCCAATTGTGTAACTTCATTTAAAAGAAAATGAAATTTCTTGCCAGGATCTACAAGTACCTACTTCCCTGATCTTACCTTAAATAACCTTCCTTTTAACTGTCCTGACATATCAGTAATTTATAAGCATTTCTATTTTTGTTTTGTTTGTTTTTTAGGGACAGGGTCTGTCTATGTAGTCCTGGTATCCTGGAGCTTGCTATGTAGATCGGGCTGACCCCAGGCTCACAGAAGTCCTCTTACCTCTGCTTGCCAGTTCTGAGATTAAAGGGGTGTGCCACCACACCTGGCTCTGCAAAGCATTTCTTTTCTTTTCTTTTTTAAAGATTTATTTATTTATTATTTATACAATATTCTGCCTGCATGTGTCCCCGCACCCCAGAAGAGGGCATCTCTTCTGATCTCATTATAGATGGTTGTGAGCCACCAGGTAGTTGCTGGAAATTGAACTCAGGACCTTTGGAAGAACAGCCAGTGCTCTTAATCTCTGAGACATCTCTCCAGCCCCCATACAAAGCATTTCTTAGGAACACAATATGAACATATCTAGCTAGACACTGATGTATCCACCCTTGGAAAGTGAGAAAAACAGATATGTGAAAAATAAATCACATTTTCACAGTTAAGTATAATTGCAGAGTTAAAAGCAATGTACAATACAAGAAACAAGACAAAATTCGGTGATAAAAATCATGGAAGTCTTTACTAGAGAAGGCACAAAACTGCATGCATTTAAAAGATGCCTAGTTGTAAGTAAAGGTGGAGTCTATGGCCTAGGAATGAAGAAAATAGCAGGTCCTTACAAGCCCTTCAATTTTCTTGAAAAGTTTAGAGGAGAGTCAAGAATTCAAAATAGGCAGCTTTATCAAGAACTAGCCCAGAGAGAAAAATGTCCTTGTTGGATCATTACAAAGAATGGAAATGGACATTTAAAGCAACATTCCATTCACTCATTTAAGAAAAATGTTTTCAATGTTCATTCCAAACTAGAAACTAATCAAAGAGAACAACAGACAAAACTACCCAATCTCTGTCCTTAGAAGCTATCTTTCAATGCAGGATTCAGAGGTAAACAAACCCACAAGACAATGGTACAAATAGGAGCTATGTGAAAACAAGACAAGTAGATAATGGAGCTGCTTCTAAGACACCAGGAAAGATCCTTCTGAGGAAACTTAAGCAGTAGCTTGAATGACACAGTGGGGTAGGTAACACATTAGTTATTCAACTTACACAGATTAGGAAAATACATTTCAGACTGCTGACTTCACCACATTCACACTTCACTAAAGTGATGATTAACTGACCCTTTCTATTTATTCTACCTTGATTATTTAACCATGTATAATTGGTCCCATGATTAGGCAGGTTAAGATTCGGACTATACATAATTTCTTACTGATCATTAACTAACTGTGGATTTAAATTTAACTAAAGGTTTGCTCTTTTTCTTGTTCCTGTGACCTCTTTTACATTTCTCCTTGGGTCTCAGCTAGATTTTATCTACTCATAGCATTGAATGTACTATCTCAAATATAATGGCTCATCCAAGTGACTAAGACAGCTACAGCCAAAGCTTTAATTCTGTTTACTGTTATTTCCAGAGTTAAGACCTGGGGATGGGGAAACACTGATGATAACTTTCATGCTTAGAAAGGGTGTACTCAAGCTGGTCATGGCCGGACTTGCCTATGATCCCAACACTTCAAAAATGGAGGAAGAACAACCATGAGTCCAAGGTCATCCTTGGCTATCCAGAAGTTCAAAGCTATCCTGGGCTACAACAAGGCCTATCTCAACAACAACATCAAAATACTGTCATAAGAAGAAGCCAGGCGTGATAGTGCATGCCTGTAATCCCAGCATTCAGGGAGGCAGAAGCAGGTGAATCTCTGTGAGTTCGAGGCCAGCCTGGTCTATAAAGAGAGTCCAGGACAGCCACAGCTAAACAGAGAAACCCTGGCTTGAAAAAACAAAACAAAAAGAAGAGGAAGACAAGGAGGAAGAAGAACTGACACTATCAGAAAGCTTGCTTGGTGTGTTCTGGGACTCTTGGTTCAACTCCCAGCAACACACCACATAAGAAAGCATAAGAAAAAGAGTATCAAGGCTAAGTGTGGTTTTTCACACATGCCTATAATCATAGCACTCAGGAGGTAGAGGCAAGAAGATCATGCATTCAAGGCTAGCCTAACCTACAAAGTGAGATTATTTCTCAAAAAAGAACGAAAGAAAAAAAATAAAACAGCAACAAGCATGAAACTAGGTGATAAAGTACTAACCCAGTATCTGTAAGACCCTGGCTTTATCCCCAACACATCTAATATAATCTAGATGGCAGAACATTCCTGTACTCCCAGCATTCACGTAGAAAAAGGAGGATCAGACATTTAAGATCATCCTCAGATATATAAGAAATATAGGATCAGAAATATAAGATCATAATGTGTTATGGAATATAAAAGACCCTGCCTTTGGGCTAGAGAGATGGCTCAGTAGGAAAAGGCACTAGCCAGCAAACCTGATGACAAGAATTTAATCCATAGCACCAATGTAGTAGAAAAAGAGTAGAGAATTGACTCCTGCAAGTTGTCACACATTCCCTCATTCTTTCTGGGGTATGCAACAGCCCTTCCCCTAATACACACGGTGGGGAGGGGGATGGGACAGAGGAGGAGGAGAGGCTCCTCTTGAAGGCCACAAAAAAAAAAAAAAAAAAAAAAAGACAATAATAGATGGGGATTGGTGTAGTGGTAGAGCACTTGCCAAACATGTAAAGGGCCTAGGGTTTAACCAACACAGCAACAACAAAAGGAAGTGATAAAATATTTTTTTAGTTACATATTTATTCTTCTTCTTCCATCATGTGGGTTCTAGAAATTAAACTCAGAACTCAAGCTGTTGGCTTGGCAGGAAGCTCCTTTACCCACTAAACCATCTCTCTAGCCTGAGAAAGTCTGAAGAATCATTTCAAGAGAGGTATCCCATAATGCTAAAAAAAAAAAAAAAAAAAGTCATCTCAGCAGAGAAATAGAGAGTGGAAACTTAAAAATTAAAGTCTTTACAACCTGAGAACTCTCTTAAATAATTATACTACCTTCTTCTTGCCTTTTGCTATATTCTACTAATTTTTTTTTTTTTTTTTTCTGAGACAAGGTTTCTCTGTGTAACCTTGGCTGTCCTGGACTCCCTCTGTAGAGCAGGATGGCCTTGAACTCACAGTGATCTGCCTGCCTCTGCCTCCCTGAGTGCTGGGATCATAGGCCTGCACCACTCAGCCTGGTTTATTCTACTACTTCTTATCATGTCAATCATTCGCCAACATAGGAGGCACCAGGAAAAGACAAGCAATTGGTTGTTGACTTCAAATAAAGTTAAATATTATTGCAAAGGTTAATTAAAAATGAAGAGTAAGACACGAGTATGGGTTTATAAGCAAAAGTTTACATGTTAAATTACCAAATCCACTCTTTTGCAGGCCTCTATATGCAATTTTTAAGAAAATGCATTTATCTGCAGAGAAAGATGATGAAGTTTTTTTTGTGCCTGTTCAGTCACAAGAATTGGTTAAGTAAGAACTATAAAGTAAGATTCAACTAGATTATGTTTTTGACTAGATACCATAGATTCTGAGTCAGTAAAAACTGGTAGAGATTTGTATCAGGGAAGAAAATAAAGAGAACAGTTTCTCTCCACTGCATACTAAGACAGCTTAAAGAGAAACTCCTTGCTTGGTGGTGGTGGTGGTGGTGGCATATACTTTTACTCTAAGCAGAGGCAGAAGCAGGTGGATCTCTGAGTTCCAGGCTAGCCTGGTCTACAGAGCAAGTTCCAGGACAGCCAGCACTATATACAGAAACCCAGTAGAAAGAGAGAGAAAGAGAGAGAGAGAGAGAGAGAGAGAGAGAGACTCCTCTCACTCTTTCCTTAGAGACAGGGGTTCTACGTACCTAGTTATACTCAGTACATGACCCAAGTTGGCCTTAAGCTTAGAGCAGTAAGAAGTTTTTTTCATTTTGGTTCTCATACCTGAGAGATGTGATTAAAACACTGCAAAGCTGTCTCTACAGGGCTTCTGAAGAACTTCTTCTCTTGAGGCTTTAACTATGAAGAGAGTAAGATACATCCACACAAAATAAAAGAAAATAATGACACTGGAATTAAATAACTCTACCTTTTTCAATTGCTATCTTCAGATTTGCTTCTTTTTGTTTTGAGCAGCTTATTACCTGAGTATGTACTTCCTACTAGATGAGGCAGTTCATGTCAAGGGTGAAAACTTACATTATCAGAAAGCGCCAGATGCTTGCAAGGACTTCCACAAACAGCACATTTTTCTGAGAAAAAAAAAAAAAAAAGGAAAAAAATTTGTTCTTAAGGGCAGGAGGTACGATTTTCCTAAAGTATGTGGTAACTGCCAAGTAGGCTAGCAAGAGAAGGAACAGGTTCTTAACTAAAGTCATGCTGATATATGAGGCTTTGCACTATGTTTATCTCCCTGTCTTTTCTTTGTTTTTGAGACCAGGTCTCATAAGTGTAGCTCAGACTGGCCTGAGACTTGCAACAACCCTCAGCCTCCTGAGTATCTGAACTAACCCTAGCATCTACTGTGCCAACAAAAGCACTGGAACACACGCAGGTCTTCTGAGACGAGTACACAAGTCCCAATGATGATAATTTTCACTTTAAGTGACTTTTTAAAAAAGATTCATTTTATCAATGTTTTGCCTTCACATATGCCTGTGTACCATGTGCGTGGCTGGTGTCGGATCCTTAGGATCTGGAGTTACACACAGTTGTTAGCCACCATTTAGGTGCTGGGAATTGAACCTGGGTGGTCTTAAAGAGCAGCTAGTGCTCTTAAACACTGAACTATCTCTCCTTTCTGCTGACAGCAGGCACACTGGCTGGCTCCCCAATATCCCACCATTGTCACTTTGCTAATATTCCTAAATTTTGCTTTGAAGCTCTCCTACTCTTTATGCAACCTGAAAGAAGAAAACCATACAATTTCTAAGCTTTCCTCCTAAAATACAGTATTCATAGTGGTGCTGATGATTACAATAAATGTCACTGGGCTGGGGAAGTAGCTCAGTGATACAGTATTTGTTTAGCATACATAAGACCCTGGGTTCATCCATTAAAAAAATGCCAGGTCAGGAAAAAGCATTACATGGCTTTATGCATCACACACACAAGCACTCCAAAGTGAGCTGCTGTCACCACAGTGAACAGCCTCATCGCATCGGCAGATAACTCAAGAGGGTCATGAGACTCACACAGGGGAAAAAGTTCTCCAGAGACTATTTAACCTGCTATTTATTCCTTGGGGAATGAAGCTTCTTTCCTAGTCTGCTTTCCATGTTGTTCTCAGCATGAGCTAGCAAATAATTTTAAGAAAAACAAACTTCCACAGATTTCTAGAACCAACAGGGTAACAGTTCAGGGTTCTTACCCGATAGACAGAAATTTCTATCATTTTGCTATTGCCTACCCCTTCAGCGTCATCTTTTAGCATTTTTACTTTTCTCTATATAATCTCAACTCTGTGTAAGCATCTGCACTGCAGTTTAATGATGTCATATGTCAATACACATACTATTGTTTTTTTTTTAAAGATGTGATTTATTTTACACACATGAACATTTACCTACATGTAAGTATGTGTGCCATGTGTGATGTGTGCCTAGTGCCTGGAGAGGCCAGAGAGTGGCATCAGATCCCCTTGAAGTAGAGTTCTAAGGCACCATGTGGGTACTGGGAACCAAACACATGTCTTCTGTAAGAGCAGCCAATGCTCTCAACCACTGAGCCATCTGTCCAGCTCTCACTGTTGTAAGTTAGAATGATCTTCGCTAAACTTGGCAAACTCCAGTTTATTGTTCAAAACCCTACTGCTGCAGAATGTCTTCCATGATGTTTCCCTTGATCAAAGCATCATGTCCTAAGTAGGGTAAAATCCCTTTTCTGGAATTTAGATAATTTACAGGATTTTTTTTTCTCTTATTGCTGTTGTTCTGTATGTGGCCCACACTAGCCTTCAACTCCTTTGTTCAATTAGCTAACCCTCTTTACTGAGCCTCCCCAGTAGCTATGGTCTTATATCACCAAGTCAGCTCATCCAGCCCTAATAAAACAAATAAAACAAACTAATAAAACGAAACAGTTCAGCTCAGAGTATGTGTGTAGCATGCCAGAAGTCTTGGTTTCATTTCCCAACACTCCAGAGCAAAACCTTAAGTTTTCTTTCTTTGAGACAGGGTCTCACTTTGTAGCTCTGGCTGCCCTGGAACTCAGAGACCTGCTTGACTTTGCCTCTCCAGTGCTGTGATTAAAGGCATGTGCCACCATGCTCCATCTGGCTTTCACATTTCCTTTCTAAAACTTGAGCATTTGCCTAGCATGTGCATAGCCCTAGGTTCTAGATTCAGCACTGCCAAATAAATAAATAATAGGAAACTGCTCATTAAACTCCAAGGTATCAACATTTTTTTCACCCATGAAGGCTTTTTTTTTTTTTATCCTACCATGTAGCTCCCTGGTAGGCAAATAAATGCTCTACCAGGGAGCTACATCTCAAGCCCCACACAATTAAAAAAAATAAGTTACAATATTTATTTTCAATAAACAGATTTTTTAAAATAGTTTTTTTCTGTTGTGTTTGAGGCAGGATTTTACTATATATCTTTGATTGTTCTTGAACTCACAATCTTCCTGACACAATTCATAACACTGAAGGGTAACGCTTTTGCTAAATCACTTAGCTCCATTCTTTTACTAATGGATTCCTTTAATTTCGAAAAGACAGCTGCCTACAGTATCCATATTATCACTGATGACTACTAAGTGATTTTTATTCTACATCACACAGAGAAATGGCTATTCATTATATCTAAGTTAAAAAACATTTTGGGATAAATCTGAAAAATAAGTCACTCACCCAGAGTCATACACTTTTTACAGAAAATATGGCCACAGCTGGTGACAAAGAAATGGGACCCATCTTTCCGGAAACACTGATTGCAATGAAACCAATCCATTCTGGAGCAGACAGAAAGAATAGGAACAATGTGGGCCATATTATAATTATAGCTGTTACAAAAACAGTTTGCTTAACTTTTGATAATGTACTGGGTGTGGGACCAAATTTGTGAGCATTCCATTTGTCTGTAGGGATATACATATAACATGAGGAAGAGGTCAGCAAACTACATTCACTATATGCCATCAAGCATCTGTGTGTGTGTGCATGCGTGTGTATGTAAAAATAGTAAAAAGCTAGAGGACAGAAATGAGGCTTTTCTTGGAGCAGTATGATTGTACTTGTATTTATATGTTTGTCTTTACTCTCACTTTTGGTTTCTAAGTTTTCTAGCTTAACTCATATACCAATTTGTAACTAGAAAATCAATCTTTCAAAAATGAAAAGTATGCCACCATATTTGTGTGGTGCTATGATGTACCACACAAATTTGTATGGTGCTAGGTGTACCAAGCCTAGAGCCTCATGAACATTAAACAAGTAAACTACCACTGAGCCCAGGCCCAGGCCACATCTTTACTGAGTTTCCTGTAAAAGAACAGAGAAAAAAAAGGAGCTAACAGAGGGTGGTGGGTCAGATAGCTCATGTATTAGCATTTAGACACATTTTACAGAAGAGAAACAGTTGAGTGGTAAGTCTCAGCTTACATACGCCTTCTACTCCACAAAAGCCCAGTCATAGGTCTGGAAGGTATTTAAAGTCATGACCAGGCTCATCTTTCCTTTTTCTTTTTTCAGAGGATGTACATGATTATAACTAACCAACTTGTCCAAAATTCTATCTTTACTGGCAATTCTGAGATTAGAATCCAAGTCTCTTGATTCTGTGGGTAATTCATGTTCCTATATTAAACAGCACTTTTGTTCACATGGTAATCATACCATAATTTGTATGGTGTTATTCTGGTTTTTTTTTTTTTTTTTTCTGGCAATAGCAATTTTTGTATAACTTAGGTATGTATCTGAATGAAAGTGATTTGTGGGATTTTTTTTTTTTAAGTATTTATTTGGTGGGTGGTGCAAACACAGGCAAGAGTGGAGGACACAGGACAACTTTTGACTTGGTTCTCTCTTTCCACCATGTTGATTCTGAGAATCATGAGCTCCACATAAATGGCAACCACTTTTACCCGCTGAGCCCATCCTGTGGGATTTGTTGTTTTACAAAACTCTACAGAGTTTCTCTGTGTAGCCCTGGCCATCCTGAAACTCGTTCTGTAGACCTGGCTGTGGGATTTTTTTTTTTAAACGAAGAAAATAACACTTGAAAAGTACAGCATTGAGCTGTAAAAAAAAAAAAAAAAAAAAAAAAAGCACAACAAAATGTTGAATATGGTTCTTAATATTTATTAACTTGATCCTTTTTAAAAAAATATCTATGTATTATTTATACATTATTCTGCCTGCACGTACACCTACATGCCAGAAAAGGGCACAGGATCTCATTATAGATGGCTGTGAGCCACCATGTGGTTGCTGGGAATTGAACTCAGGACCTTTAGGTAGAACAGCCAGTTCTCTTAACCTCTGAGCCATCTCTCCAGCCCAACTTGATCCTTTAAATTGGAAAAATTAGTTACTTTTTTCCTACCACAACCCTTTTCTCTCAACAATTTTAGAGTGCCAGTTTGTGTAGAGGTTTACCAAGTGAATGAGCAACCTACCTTGAAAATTCTGTCCCTTAGCAGAAAGGTGACACAGACCTTGGAAAAATTAGTTACTTTTTTCCTACCACAACCCTTTTCTCTCAACAATTCATTTTAGAGTGCCAGTTTGTGTAGAGGTTTACCAAGTGAATGAGCAACCTACCTTGAAAATTCTGTCCCTTAGCAGAAAGGTGACACAGACCTTTAGTCCCAGAACTCCGGCAGCAGAGGCAAGTGGACCTCTGTAAGTTCAAGACTAGTCACAGTTACATAGTGAGACCCTGTCTCCAAAAAAAATCAAAAACAAAAAACCCTTGCCATTATAGTTATGACTGAAGCTGGGCATGGTGGCACATGGTAATCCCAGCACTCAGACAGAGGCAGCCAGATCTCTGTGAGCTCGAGGCCAGCCTGGTCTACAAAGTGAGTCCAGGACAGCCAGGGCTAAAAGGAGAAACCCTGTCTCGCTAAAATAAACAAATAAAATTTATGATAAAAAAATTTTAAAAACTATCGAGGGGAGGTGAGATGGCACAGCTGATAATGGTGCCTACTGTTAAGCCTGGCGACTTGAGTGTGACACCCTGGGACGGACAGACAGAGGGACAGATTCCCACAAGCTGTCCTCTGACCTCCACAAGCACGCACCATAGCAGAGTAACCACCTAATTATTCACATGACCACTCCCCCACAAATAAATGCACATTTTTCTTTAATTTACTTGACAGTGGGTTGAGGTGGTGCAGGCCTTTAATCCCTGCACTTGGGAGGCAGAGGCGGGCAGATCTCTGAGTTCGAGGCCAAGCCTGGTCTACACGGCGAGCTTCTGGGCAGCCTGGGCTATGTAATGAGAACCTGTCATTAAAAAAATAACAACAACAACAACAATAAACCGTCCCACAGCACCAGGCTCGGAGCTCCAGTCGTGGCTTCGCCGGGGTCCTAGGCGGCCTTGACTGGCTGCGGAAGAGGACGAGGACGCGCGAGGACTGGTGGCCTCCGACCCTTCCTAGCTCGCGTCCATACCAGCTTGGCCTCCAGGACTCCACGCCTCAGATCTCGGACCAGCCGGCTCTCTCACAAGGCGCCAGACACCCCGGAAGAGAAAGCAGCCGCCGCCCTGCACCGCGCCACGTGCGAGGCTGGCCGGCAGCGCACGCCAGAAAGAACCAGAAGGGCGGGGGCGGGGCCTAACGGGGCGGGGCCAGGCGGGGGCGGGCCGCTGAGCTCCTGCGCAGCCGCAGAAGCATTCAGGCGGGTTCCCTCGAAAGGTGTGTCCTACGGTAGCCTGGGAAGCCCACCAGAGCGTCGAAATAGTCGTCTTCTACTGTAGAAGCCGAGAGATGAAAACGAGCCATTTAATGTTTCACAAATGACCCCCCCCCAAACAAAAGAAAGCAGAATCTCAAAGCCATAGGAGCTTTGACATAATCTAAAATGAAATTAAAATAATGGACGCTAAAAAACTTCCTATAAAGCCGGGTGGGTGGTGCACGGCTTTAGTCCCAGCACTCTTGGGAGGCAGGGGCAGGCGGTTCGCTTTGCCTTCGTTCGAGACCAGCCTGGTCTACAAAGTTAGTTTAGGACAGCCAAGGCTACACAGAGAAACCCTGTCTGGAAAAGCAAAAACAAACAAGCAAAAAAGTTACAGTATAGCTGGGTGGCCTGAGCCACAGAGGCAGGAGGATCTCTGTGAGTTCCAGGAGAGACAGATTCACACAAGGAAACCCTGTCTACAAAAGAAAAGAAAAAAAAAAATACAGCATAAATTAGAAACAGAGAAAACTGAGAAGTTACGTGGTTAGAGGCCGATTGCTAGAAACTCAGAACAAATAGGTCTCCAGAAAAACATTTAACTTTTAATTGACTAAAAATGACCAGTTTCGTGGCTGCCTGCCTGCGAGGATGAGGCAGGAAGGTCAAAAGCACCATGTCATCGTCAACTACATACCCTGAGACACTCAAGGCCCTATCCCATTAAGAACAGAAAAGAGAGTGGCGGACAAAGGGAGTCAGAAAGACAAGAAAAAAAAAAACTGGAAAAAAAAAGGGGGAGGGGTAAAAAGAATAAACTTTTCTACTGCACTTGTTGTCAGATTTTTGTTTTGTTGTTTGTTTTGTTTTTAGGTCATCCTGGTCTACACAGGAAGTTCCAGAATATCCTGGGGCTACAGCAAAACCCTGTCTCTAAAAGTTAAATAAAAGTAAAGAAAACAAACCAAACAAACAAGAATATGAAGGGTTTAAGTTAGCCTGGGTATAACTTCATTTTAATAAAGAACCATCTTGACTGGGAGCTGAATTCAGGTACCAGGAAATATCACAAAATGTGCACCTGGCAGAAAACAAAGTTAACTCTCCTAGCAACAGCCTCCAGGAAATTCACAGAATAAATACTTTATAGAAAATAGAGACAATCCCCCTGGCAATAATCAATGAGAGTTGGTTGAGAATCGGGTGGGAAAATTCTCCCCAATGTTTCAGATGTGGTTTAGAAAAATAGCCATTGTGATTATATGCCTTAACCATTGTGATTGTGTGCCTCAGAAGAGGTCACCCCGCCCTGCTAAACTTCACCCAATTCTGTAACACCAATGCTTGTGCCCCCCTGCTTGCTGCCATGGAAACCCCCTGCTCACAGACTTTCCCTTTAAAAATCCTGCTCACTCAGGGCTCAGGGTCCCACTTGTCTACTGCTTCGTCAGTGAGACTTGGGTCCCGAGTTCGATTACTCGTAATAAAGCTCTCTTGCTATTGCATCGAGTCGTCTCCTGGTGGCCTCTGAGGGTCCCATGAACCTGGCATTACAAATATCCTAGGGGGAAAAAAAAACTTTCGGTGTCCTGTGTTGAGAAACTAGCTCCACTTAAATGTTAAATTACAGAGATCTGTAATTTTAGAAACATATCAATAAACATAAACATACCAATAAAGCCTGGTGGCGGTGGATCCCAAAGGCAGGGAAGGCGCAGAGGCAGACCTCTGAGTTCAAGGCCAGCCAGGGCTACACAGAGAAGCACCATCTTGAAAATAAACAAACAAACACAGACACAGAGAATAGGCTAGGATTGTAGAACAAATGCTTATGTATAGACCCTGGTTCCATTTTCAGTTACCCCTTGCAAATCTCCCCACCCCAGAAACAGAAGGGAACACCAAGGAATAAGGACTAAGAACATTTGGAAATTTTAATTTAGGATTAGGAAGGAATAATGATGGGATGGGAAGTTGAATTTTTTGTTTTGTTTTGTTTTGTTTCGAGACAGGGTTTCTCTATGTGTAGCCCTAGTGGTCCTGGAATCACTCTATAGACCAGGCTGGCCTTGAACTCACAGAGATCTGCCTGCCTCT